AAAAGAAGCCAGACAAGTATAACAGCTGTATGATTACATTCATATAAAATTCTAGGGCATACAAACTAATGTGTAATTACAGAAAGTAGAGCAGTGATTACCTGTGGACAGGGAGATGGGGTGGGAGGGAGGAATTACAAAGGACCCTGAGAACCTTTGGGAGTGATGGCTATGTTCTTTTTCTTGATTATGACGGTTTCATGGTGTATGCATATATCAAAACTTAACAAATTCTATACTTCAGTTGTGCACAGCTTATTGTGTATGTTATATCTCACTTAAAAGATACATCTTTTTTTAAAAAACTGCAGTGAGAGACCACTACACTGCCACCAGAATAGCCAAAATTTAAAAGACTGGCAGTGCCAAATATTGCCAATGATGTGAAGCAACTGGAATTCTCCTACATCATAAGTGGGAATTGGAAATTGTGCAACTACTTTGAAAAGAGTTGTGAAAATCTCTTATAAACTAAGTATATACCTCATCAGTGACACATCAGTGCCACTGCTAAGTATTTACCCAAATGAAATGAAAATATATGTGCCAAAAAAGACTTGTATAAGAATGTTCATAGCAGCTTTAGTCATAGCAGCCAAAAACTGGACACAGCCCAGATGCCCATCAATAGAATTATGAATAATTAAGCTCTAGCATGTTCTCATAATAGAGTGTTTCTTGGCAATGAAAGAGAACACACTACTGATAATACAAAACCACACACAAGAATCTTAAAAACATTAAGCTGAGTGAAAGAACCCTTATATAAAAATTATGCTGTATGATTCCATTCATATGAAATTCTAGAGCAGACAAAACTAATCCATGGTAGAAAAAAATCAAAATGTCGTCTGCCTCTGTGGAGAGGACCATAAGGGAACTTTCTGGGGTGACGAAAATGTTTTATATCTGAGTAGGAGTTTAATATATATAGTATGTATTTGCCTAAAGAGCAAAGGACACTTAAAATCTGTGCGCTTCATCAAATGTAAATTTTATCGCAAAGAAACTGAACAAACTTTGAACTCTAGTTAGAGATATGAATGCTGTATTTGGGGACAGCTTACTGATGTCTGCAGTTTACTTGGAAATGCAGCAAAAAAGTAAGATGGATCAGCAGATGGTTAGAGGGATGGGTAGATGTGTGCTAAAGAAAACATAAGGAAAACGTGAATGATTGAGTGGTGGCTATACTGGTGTTCACTGTAAAAAATTCTTTTAACATATTTGAACATTTTCGTAATTTACTTCTGTTACGAATTCAGATTTATCAGAATAATGTTCCTTTGTACCAGACTTATAAAACTGTGTAGCCACTGTTTGCTAAGATATGATTTTAATCCCTCCTCCTCCACAGTAGAGAGTCTATAAATAAGCTATCCACCCTGCGACATTGATGGAAGCACATTACCAGAAGTTTCAGTGTTAGAGCCACTAGCCTTGGCTATCACACATTGGAATTGCTTCCGATAGGAGTCAGTGGCAGGCTGGGCAGAGGCTGAAGACCAGATGTATAAAGTAAAAGGCGTCCTTTTACCTCTTCATAACATTTTGGGATGGGGAAAATGAGGGGGGATTGAGAGGATAAAACCATGTGTAATGAAATTCACCGTTATTTTATACTAAGTCAAAAACTCTAAGTGGGTGTTTATAATTATAAAATAATGAGATAAAATCAAAGGATAATAAAACAATCGAATCACACTGTTCTGATTTCAGTACTCCTCATCTCTCTTCCAGGGCACTCCACCCAAAGTGGTAATAAATTGACTGCTCATGTAAATCACTACTTCTTTGAAGTTTACTAATACAAGGCAAACTAACAAGTTAAACCCACTCTTGATTCTGGCTCCAGTAGATTATTTTCATGCACATGTGTGTGAACAGTCTTTTCCTAGTTTATATTGTTTTGTGATCCTATGCTCTTGGCTTTGCGTTTGTGAGTAATTGGGTGGAAGAATTTGCAGCATTCACAAAATATCACAGCAGTCCGTTTTCAAAGTTTAAATTTTCATCAGCTCATTAAAATAGTAGATACTAAGTAATGCAGGTTTACGTAAATGTACATTTGTGTCTTACAAATAATTGAAAATTAAAAGCTAAGCTATATAAAAGTAAAATTTTAAAAAGCAAAGACAGTGCTCTTCTTGAGTGTCCCTGAACAGAAAACTTATAACTGGGTTTCTCCTTCTGTCTACTTTTGAGTAATTTTCTCTTGCCAATACCTGGAAGATGTGAAGGAGGTAATAGCAGAAGATGGGACCGAGAAATGTGTTTCTCTTTCGCAGATTGCATGCCTGAGGTCACTGCCTAGTCTCCCCAACCCAGCCTTCTCTTTGAGTTTACCACCGCCACCCCACCATGTCGTTTGGAGTGGCATATGCAGGAATCCCTGCCTAGAACTGTAAAACTAGGAGGGACCTTAAGATCATGTAAGTCCAACTTGCTCATTTTAGAGAGGAAGAAACTCAGGTGCAGATTGAAGTACAAAGTATTTTTATTGTAGAATGAAGGAATAGTAAACCATTCCCAAACAGTAGTAAAACAATACACCCAGAAACTCTCACTCCTCCACTTGTTAATTCTTCCAACACATTAAAATTCCTTACTTTTTTTGTTGGGCGTTAATTACACACTAAATAGTTATTGAATAAGACACTCCCTGCATTGGGGAGTTTATAGTCTGTTTAGAGAATCAGATAATACAGTGCAGAATGCTAATTATGCAATAACATGAGTAAACAAAGTGTTGGAACAGTTAGAAGCTCCTTTCCAGTTTTGGGTAGAGGGTGGTCAAAGAAGGCCTCTTAACTGGGGTGAATTTTGATCTGAGCTCTGAAGAACAATTGCCAGGCATAGAAAAGCAGCATGTAAAAAGCTTTTGAGGCAAGAGAACAAAGGCACAAGAGTTTTCTGCTTAAGCACTTATAGTTCTGTATTTTTCTCCCTTTTTCCACGTAGTAGGGGCTCCTTGCATATATAGGTATTCACATGTTTCTGTGGGCCATTCATTGCATTTAGTACATTTTGCCTCAGGTAGTTGTTATGCTTATGCTTATAATCTGGCTCCTCTACTAGAATCCAAGCCCCCTTTAGAGGAATGGCACTATCATTGTTATCCTGTATCACCTGCAACTCAGTGCTTAGTACACAGGTGACCGGTAGATGTTTAACTCCTTGCACACCTGTTTAATCTCTTAACATGGCCTTCCAGTGCTTCTCTGTTCAGACGCTACAATCTTCCTATTTCCTTAAGTTCTTTCTGGAATCTGCAGAATCTCTGTGACCTCTCCATAGCTCTTACTGGTTTATTAGCTGCCTCTGTGGCTGGTTGTAGAGCCCTAATCTGGAAGTGTCACTAATCTAGTTTGCAGTTTATATTAATTAGGTATATAATGTGTGTGCTTTAAAGAAACTGATGTCAAAAACTGATTCGGGGTATGTAAGTAAGTGACTGTCTAATTTGATTTAAACTAACCTGCCTGATTCTAGCAAGGTCAGGTTCCTCCCCTCCGCTCCATCACCCCGCTCCAAATAAACTTGGTAAGATGGGAGGGGAGAGGATGCAGAGGGTAATATTAATATTTTAGGCCTTATGCCAGTCATTGGTAGTATAGCCAAAATAGAATAGTGACTCAGGCTATAAAAATCATCGTAGATACCTTTATTTACTCATTCTTTATCAAATACCTTGAGAGTGACGGTTCTGTCTGTATCTTATAAAACTTTAAACTATTATTCTGTGATTGTCTGCCAAGTCCTAGGGAAATTACAGAAATGGACATAAGAAACTGAAATACTAGGAAGGGGTAAGTGCTCCAAATGCAATGGAAATTCCATGTATTATGAACTCAATAGAAGAGATAATCTGGAGCTGTAAGGGACAAATAATGCTGGAAATGAGTCTCTACCAAGTGCAGATTTGGACAGGATCCTGATAAGTTAGTGCAGTGTTGTCTCTGTTCTTTTCATGCCTTTTCTCATAAAGAGGTACGAAGGAAGTATGTCATATTAGGGCATGGAATATGTGAAAGGTTTGGAACAGCCCCTGGAAAATGTGATAAGATTGGCATCAGTGGCAGATGCCCAGAGTGTCATGTATGCATAACATACCCAGTTATACATTTGTAATGCACTGTTCCAGTGCCCGTGTCCATATGCACGTTTCCTTCTGTAAATAAAATGGGGATAGCAATAATATTGTATCTACCTCATAGAACCGTTGTGTAAGCCATTGGTAAACATAACTGATTAGATTGGCAGTTTAGATAGATGAACAATAATTTGTGAGTTCTAGCTGTTGCCTAGTTTATGTCAGTGTTGTTTGCTATTAAGAATTTTTTTTTTCTTTTTTTTGGAGCCAATAAATTTTGCAGAATAGCTTTTATGGAGGGATTGCATGTTGTAAAGTGCAATGAACAAAGGTGGCTCCACAGCCACAGATTTGCTTTGATTGATTAAGAAAGAGACCACATGCCAAATGTCAGCTGAAAAATAAATGTATCAAATATTGGCAAACTTTTAGTCTCATTTGAAAAAATGAAAAGAGTTTGTGAATTCGGAGATGTTAATCATTTTCAGAGTAGCAATGAAACAATTATTCTACCAAATAATGCAGGGGATTTTGCCCACAACCCACATTAAGAAGCATCTATTACATGACAATGTACTACACATGTAGGAGCATACAGACACCTAAACAGAAACACAAGCTTCATGAAGCACTTTGCCTACCCTTACTAGCTTCCCCAGTAATTGTTACTCTAGTGTGGTTCCTTTTTATTGTTGTTTTTACTGCTCTTCATAGTCCATTAAACTGATTGCAAAGTTCACTGATGAACTACAACCCACACTTTGAAAAACATTACTTATTAAAAGCTTTTTCTGATATCGGTTTCAATTTTGAAATATAGTTTCTACCTAGTATAAATTTTCAAAATCATGTTTATATTTCTAACTTTGGCCACTGGCTGAAATTGTTTTTCTCTTCTATTAATCAGGTATCAACATGGTTTTTTACCACCTTTTCTGTCTCAGGACTGAAGGACAAAATCCACCATGTGGACAGCCTCCACCAGCTATTCTCTGCCATATCACCAGAACAGATTGACTTTCCTCCTTTTGTCCTTGAATATGATGCCAGGGTAAGAAGTACCAGGAGTTCTCCCTCACCTGGTGCAGTCTCTTAGCTGTTCTATAGGACACTGCTGATGAGCACAACATCCTTTGATTAGAAGATGATAGGAATGCTATTAGCAGGTTTTAGTAAACTTGATAGTATTATTTAGCATTCTTTTCCTACAGTAACTAGGAAAACGCTTTGTCCTAAGAGAGGACTTTTTTCCCCAGTAAACTTTTCAATGGGAGATTTTCCTGCTGTTGGTTTGAAGCCAGTCCTTGCTTATATTGTCCCATTTTTTACCGCCTCTGCCTAATTTTCTTAAGATTAATTAACTTTATCTACATAAGTAGTCAGAAGAATCTGTTGGTGTGTGACATTTTCAGCATTGATTCAAAATGGTGGGCTATCTTAGTAGCCTTTACCCTACTAAAGGTTTCATTTTGCTAAAAGTTTATATAATGTTTTTAAGAGTATCAACCAGTATATAGATGCATTTATGAATATATTACTTAAAACACTGATAAAGAGCTACTCTTGAATTTCATTAAAGCTCCATCCCCCATGTTTATGCATGCTACCACTTTAGTAGTTAAAAAAAAAAAAGTAACAGGCATGGCCAAAAGATCATCAGTTTCCTTATTTAACTGTTGCTAATTACGTATCTTTATGCATGAATCAGGGAATATATTTGAAGGTTATATTCAGTTTGAAATGAATTGTTTTTCCTAATTATTGTACAGCATGTATACACTAAAATAAATATTCTGCAAGACATTTTTCTCTCTACCATTTCTTTAACTTCAGCAATAATTTCTGTCTTCCTTTATGTGAAGAGCAAAGTATTTAATGTGTTCTAATGGCTAATAAAATTTCATGCTTGGCTTTAGAGCAGAGAGGATTTGTAATTGAAGCAGCTGGATCATAGATACAAAGATTATTGAATATATTGGGGGGTGGGGAAGAACATCAGTTTGTGTTTATTGTAGATTGCTGGAGTAGAAAATGACCTTACTGTTACTCTTTTGAAGTATACATCTCTCTTCTTAATAATTAAAAAAAATGGATAGCAGGAAATGAAAGACACTAAAAGATATTTTGTGATCAAAAATTTGGAATGACAATTCAAAGCTAGTGTCTGGATTTATAATTTATTTTCTAGGGTATAATATACAAGTTGGGTTGCATTGGTTAGAAAACCCAAATGACTGGTTTTTAAGCCAGCACATTTTCTATGTACTTAAGGGCCTATAAAGCCAACTTTCATTAAGTATCAACACCACACTCAAACTTTGTTTTGTTTGTTTGCTTGTTTAATTTTTTCTTATATTTTTCTTATATTTTGTATGTCAAGTGATGTGATTAATCAAAGTTTAATAAAATAACCTATAATCTCGAGGCACCTGGGTGGCTCAGTCAGTTAAGCCTCTGCCTTGGGCTTAGTTTGTGATCTCAGGGTCCTGGGATCCAGCCCTGTGTTGACCTCTCTGCTCAGGGAAGAGCCTGCTTCTCCCTCTCCCTTTGCCCCTCCCTATGCCCCTCCCCGCCTTGTGCACGCACATGCACTCTCTCAAATAAAATAAAATCTCTAAAAAACAAACCAAACCTATACATCTAACTCTTGGGTGATTGCATCATCTCTCTGTGCCTGTACTAGAGCTTTCTAAAATTGAGATATTAGGCAGTCTGTATTTAAAGGCCAAAGAGAGAAATAAAAACCGGGAAGAAACAAAAGAAGGTGTCAGGAGATGATGTGGAAAGGGCTGGCAGAGGGCAGGTCACTAGATACTTAGAGCCTTACGTGTTACTTGCAGCACTTTGGCTTTGTGGTTGGTGGGGAATATTCCGCAAGGGAGACCTACCATTATATTGCTGTTTAGAATGATGGCAAAAGAAACAGCATAGAAAGTGACTAGGGAAGTTAACAGTCTAGGCAGGTAGGCAAGTAAGAGGCTATCAGAAAGTCAGAGGAGAAATGAGACCAGAGCTAGGGCAGCAGTAGTGATAATGGCAATGACTTGAAGATCATAGATTGAGAAGTAGACATTTTAGGAAAAAAAATCCACAGCATTTGATGACTGAGTAAACCATTAGAGGAGATGAAAGAGGAAGGATGTCTAAGGTGACTACCAAAGTTTCTGCTGTAGGGGACTTGGTGGGTGGTATTGCTGCCACCCCAGAGAGGCAGTTTGGAGGAAAAGCCTTGGGGGTGAGGGTGTTGAGGGCGTGGGAGAGGAGACAGGTGGTATGTTCAGTTTGTGACACACTAGGATTGAGGTGGAGATCCAGTTGGTGGTTGGATATTATCTTGTAAGGAAATATTTGCCTTTGCTAGGAAAATGAAAAATATAATCAGAGAAAAGGAAATGAGTATGGAATTGGTTAATTTATTGTCCTGTTCAGTTGTGCCTTGCACATAGTAGGTATGACAGGGCATGATGTGTCATTGTTGGCTGGTTTCAGTGGGCTATTTTCTGGGTCTTGTGTGACTTAGAACAGTGACATAAGTTTTATGGGAATGAAAACCTTTGAAGGTAATTAGAAGATAATTTTTATCTCTCTATATCAAAATGTTATGGAGACCATTTCAGAAAGGCTGCTAGTGAGCATTCTTATAGATATAAAATATAGTCAAAGAAGAGAGTATACAAATTTACCTGGCAACAGTTCTTCAAAGTTCTGAGATTGTTTCCAGAAATAGAGAAAATAGATTGCTTGGCAGTCTTTTGCACAGTGTGAGACTAATATAAAAAGCTTTATTTCATAGCATTAAGAATTAGATTTGCCCTTCATACTTTATCACAATTTAATGTAGATCAGAAAACCTAAAAAAATATGGTAGTAGAATGGAATGGAGAAATCTGAAAGATGGATATTGAACCATTTTTTTTCAAGTGAACTTCAAAATAGAGTTATCTCTTCAGGCATGTTTCTTAAGCATAGTTTCCATGCATATTGAGGATATAGGAGTGGTTAGTATAACAGATCTTGATAGGAAATTCTAAAATATAAAAAAAAAAAAGGTTTTCATTAATTTTTTTCAAGTATCCTGAAATGCAGCCAATCCTAGGATTTGTTTCTACCTAATTTTTTAAAATCTTCCTAATGCCTGGTCAGATTTATAATCAGAAAGTAAATTTTCCTAGATCTTCTCTTATTTTCCTGGCGATAGTCCCAGGATCAGTTCTTTTCAGAGCATCTGCTCTGAAAAATGTCAGAGCTTTTAGGGGTGCCTGGGGGGCTCAATCGGTTAAACGTAGAACTCTATTTCAGCTCAAGTCATAATTACAGGGTCTTTAGATCAGCCCCAAGTTGGGCTCCACACTGGTTGTGGAGCCTGCTTAAGATTCTCTCTCTCCCTCCCTACCTACCCCCACCCCACCCCACTCACGCTCTTGCTCACCCTTTCCCCCCAAAAAAGTTTTTGATACCCTTAGTTACTCAGATAACATTTAACCACCTAGTGTGTTCAAAACCAGTTACATTTAATGATCCGTCATCAGCAATAGTGTAAATATACCGTAAAGCAATGCTATTTTCATCTCTGTCTCATTCTCCATTTCTGTTATCTACATTAATGCTAAGCATTTCTGTTTATGGTTTACTGAAAAACAAGTTATTTGTCAAATACTTTCCTTAAAAATGAGAAATGAATCCTAAGTCCCATAAATGTAATCAAAGATCCATCGACCATAAAGTTAGCTGTCTTCATTTTTATTAAGATAAAGTTAGCCAAAATGAAGTAAGAAAATTCACACATACTCTTCTGTTCCATCATTGTGTATTAAGGTTCAATACACAGTAAGACAACCCAGTCTAACAAAATAATCTGGGCATTAGGTTTGAATACACGAGGATTTCAATTCAGGCTCTTCTGGTTACTACTAGGTGAACTTAGGTTGAATTATGCAAGCTGTGTGATCGATCCTCAGTTTCTTTTTCTGCAAAAAGTTGTGACCTACCTCATGGCGTTACATAAAGGGATAATGAAAGAAAAGTGCTGTTATAAAGTGTCTGGCGTATAGAATATTCAGGAAGTAATAATGTTATTTAAAAATATTATCATCCTGATTACCTATGCCTACCCTACACCAGCTCTGGCTGACTGCAGTGGAACTGTTTTGATGGCCAAGTGGCTTGCTCAGGGTCGGGCATGTGCTAGACATTTTACATACACGATATCATTGACTATAAATCTTTTTCTTTCACATTCCCATTTAAATTGGTTTTATTACTTAATGTTCTTGTCTTTTTTTTTCTTCCACAGGAAAATGGGCCTTACTATCCATCTTACCCCCCGTCACCAGATTTGTGACCTGCCGTCTTTTAGTGCTACTGGTTTCCAAGGACGTCACTTTCTCCACGGATCGCTACCTATTGAAGTGAAATTCATTTTTGCTGTTCAGATCCAGAGAGCCTTTTGTCCCCACCTCTCTGGTATTTTTTTATTGACTGTATATTTTCTGGCACATAAGCAGTCTGACAATAGTAGGCCATTCTGAACCGCACACTTATTTTAAATTTGTATATTTGTATCAAATGAAAATGTTCATTTTTAGAGGGTTGTTAATAGAAATTGGGGAGCAACTTTTGAGTATCTTCAGTTTTTTCCTGAAAGGACACTGGATTTTCCATTAGAGAAGCCACCAATATTGTTCACGCCATCTCTTTAACATTGTACGCTTCCTCTGTGTACTTAAGTGTTTCTCAAAATATATAGAACCAATGTATGCTGACCATACGCATTGTTTGCTTCAGATCCTGGCATTACGTTTTATACAGATAATTTGGTTATGGTAAAATAGAATTGTCTGGGATCAAGGATGTGGAAATGTATCTGATCAAAACATTGAAATCATTAGCAAAATATAGGTCTTAAAATCTTACTGCACCAGCGAAGATTAAGATTTTGGATTATATGATTTGTTAAGATTGTCACTGTTCTGGTGTCAACAGTGGGGGAAAACGGGAAGACTGTATCTTCCGCCTTTTTCCTGTAGTCATGGGTGATTTGGTGTCCTGTTTCTAAAAGGCTGCACTCATTAGTACTCTTATGCGAAAGGCATTCTCCTAGACTCCATCAGTGAGCCTTTAGAGAGAGTGCTGTCTGCCCAGAGTTGTGATTTTGTTGGGCTTTACAGCTACTCCCTCTAAGGACATCTCCTCACAGTGTCTCTTGAGTTGCCTATGTCAAAATGGAGGAAGTGCGTTGCAGTGAACAAAATTCCAGACTGCTCTTGCCACTCAGGCTCTATTTGTGCCTTAGCTCACTTGTGAATAAAAATTAGGATTATGATACCGACCTCACAGAGGTATCATAAGGCTAACATTTAGAAAGGGCTTGTGATGTCTTCGGATGCAAAATGCTAGGGGAGTTTGTGTAGGTGTCACTTCAATTAGTTTTTAAATGATAATAAATGTACTTGGGGGTACTGCCAAACACTCCTTTTGTCCTTGGCACCTTTTGAGTGACTTTTCTTGTCTTACAACAAGAGCTGTTACTAAAAAATCCCAACCCTGAAGACCTCCTTCCTACTTTGTCCAGAATTCCTTCTAGCCTCCTCCTCCCCCAGTGCTACACTTTAACAAGAGGCATCTGTTAGCCATTTTAAACATTTCTTCTTGAATTGAGGTCAAACCAGTATCATTTCCATCTGGCTGTCTTCATATTCCTTTTGATTCCTACACCCACCCACCCCCCCATCTCCCTCACTCCATCATGTACATTGGCAGTTCAGAGAAGAAAAAGTAGAACTCTTCTGTTCTGTGTTAAGGATCAGTGCTTCCAAAGGTCCTATTCTTCTGTGCCCAAATTAAGTCTTCAGTGGATAAAGGAAACATACTTCTTTTATGACAGAGAAGTCCCCGTATAGTTGTATTAGCCCCATCCTCTATTTTCCCCTACAAACAAGAAGGGGCTTTACATTCCTTCAATAAGCGCTCATATCTTTTTGCATGAAATGGACACATTTGCTCTGTGTCAGAAATCAAAGCCACTTGCTCCTTGTATATGCTTATTGGGTAAGGGTTTCCTGTTACGTTCCCTAGGTCATCAGATCCAGACAGCCAGTCAGATGTCTACTAGTAAGCTTCCTCTCAAACAGCACTACTTTCAATCCCTTAAGCCTTGAACTTTAAAAATCTGAAAAATGAGCTTCATCTTCTCCAGTCTATTGTTAGATCATATTTGAGGCATCTTTGCACTAGGAGCAGTTATAAAAATATGCCAGCTTTTCTTTTTTGAAAGTGGACTTGGCTATCTCAAATTGGCATTCGGCCTGAATCATTTCCTCTATAGATAATAGAGGCTGCAAGCTACTTTGCCATTTGAAAGGAAGAAAATTGATGTGTAGAATTTCTTATAGGCAGTGATTTTGGAAGAATGTGCATACGAGTATATTAATGTCTAGTAACACAGGCAGGATTCTATATATAGTGAGATTCTCACTCAATTGATGTCCTAGGGTATAAAGGTAGTATGGAACTATATACAGACCAACCGCATTTCATAATTTAATGGTGACTAAAGATAAGGGCTGCACTTCTCAGTGAAACTAAATTTGGTATGGGACCAAGTTCATGCTTTCATAGCTGTCTTAAGTGTTGTGTAATAAAGTTGTTTCAATGTATGAAATCCTACCAAAGGAACATAGTGACCTTGATAGTGAAATGATTATGTAATGTTCTATATATCTGCCTTTGTCAAAGATTGGGTTGCCTGGAGAACACATGCCATTTTCAGAGACACATTAGAGGATAAAAGGATGACTGGGTGGAGATGAGTACTAGCATCTGATGTTAATTCAAAGCACCACCAAATCCTTAATTTAATTAAACTTTGGTCATGCCAAATGCTAGTCGAATTGAGGAAGAAACAACGTACAAAACATTAAGTGAATTCATTAATTCATGCAAGGCATAATAGGATTTTCTTAAACAAGTACATATCTTCAGCATATACTTGGTTCTTCTTAACTCATCTATATCCAAGTTTCTTGAAAGCAGAAAAAAACCTCTTGGAAAAAACTGTCTTTATTAAAGACTCTCTTAAGGCTTAGAGACCAAGTGGTTTAAGATTCTCTTTTCCTTAATATACATCTTATTTCATTGGCTAGTACTCTATTATGTTTATTTTTTCAAAGAGATTCAATTAGTTTGAGACTAAAGAACAGGATTTTTAGAGTATTTTTGATAGGAAAGATGGGTATAGATTTTTTATCAAATATCTTAAATCTGGAAGGATTAAAATATGTTGCATTTCTAGAGAGGGATACGTATAACCACTCTAGTAGAAAAACATGGCTTGCCTATTTCTTCCTGTTTTCGGTTAGCTGAGATATCATTCAGTGAATTCCAACTGTCGGTAATGGTTTCTTCTCTTTGCAATTGCTAATAGGAAAGTGATAAAATGTAGTTTCCATATAAGCTAAAAATCACTCTTTGTGTATCCCTTGATTGTCTGTGTATGTATATATAGAGTTTATATTGATTAATATATGACTAGAAATTATTAGAATTTGAAGTACTAGAAAGAGGAGGATTATTATGGTTCTAAGAACAGTGGATTGATTGTATTAAGGGCCCAAAGGACTGCAAAATAGCATATACACCTCTAAAATTGGAGTTGACCAGTGAGTTTCAAATTGTTGTTCTCTTATTAAGTTACAGTCACTAGTCAACACACAGTAGAGTGTTTTACCTATGCTGGCACTAACATACCTCATGGTATATGATTCAGGATTGCCTGAAACCATGAAGGATTAAAGGAGCACTCTTCCTTTGACTAGGTCATATCAGAAGCGCAGAGAGTATAAGAATTGCCTAGTAGGCCAAACCATATATACATAAGCATATATATATACACACACATGCATATGTACCTTTAAACTGTGTACATGCATATATATGTGTATACATGCACATGGTAACCTACTTTGCATTACATTCTTCGAATGTGGTTTCTATGGCCCATATGTAGAGAACATAGAGCAATAAATAACATAGTTCAAGCTTGGATTCTATCAAAAAAGCCCTTACGCAGATGACATCAAGGTCATTTTATATATTAGTGGCTCTCTTGGACATTAGTTGTTAATTTTGTTTTCTTTGCTTCCAGGAATGGTATCTAATCTTTTTAAGTGAAGTAAGTAATCTTTTTAAGTGGATGTGTAGGGCCACTGAGTTCAAGGAGAAAAACATAGATATTCTCTAGGTGAATTACACTAACAAAATCATAACTGCTGAGTGTGACCTAATATTTTTGTTGAACGGTTAAAATTAATACGTTTTATATACACAGTCATACTTTTTTTTTTTTGCAATGTGTTTTGCTAGTGTAAGCACACAGTCATTATAAAATGAGCCAGCACTTTGTCAGACCAGTATCTGGTAGACCGAAATATTTAATTATGAGCTTAACATACATAAATGATTTTAATTGCTGTTGGGCACAGGAGATTTAAAAGTTTTATTGACATCTTAAAATTTGTTTATTCAGAATGCTTTTATGAATATTTTGCATTTAAAAATTTATTTTAGTCTTTCTGAATTAGAAGTTAAATTCCATTTAAAGAGGATCCCACTCTGTGCAAATATAGCCTGTGAAGAACGAGTAGTAAAATGGTAATGTTTGTATTGAATCCCAGGGTAGGAGAGTCTGTTCTGGTCATTTACACCTGGCTTTTCTCTAATCACTGAGATTAACCTCCGTTAGTGGTACAAAATGCAGTAAATTTTACTGTCAGCCTTCTCTATAGGGACCTAGACTAGTGCTTCTCAAACTTTAATGTGCATATATTAAATTAGCTGGCAGTATTATTAAAATGCAGATTCTGATATAGGAGCTCTGGGGTGGAGCCTGGGATTCTTAGTTTCTAACAACTTTGGGTGATTATCAATACTCCTGATACCCCAAGACCACAAGTAAAAGAGCCTAGACTATATTCAGCTTTCATATTTTACCTGTTTCAAGAAAAGGAGACACAACTGTCATAATCCCTTCTGTGGTCCAGTCACTCATATTCATTATCTCACTTAATCCTACAAATCCTATGAGGTAGATGGTGATAGAGAGGTTAAGTGACCTGCTGACTCCCACGCACACCAGCAGTACAGTATTGAGCCATGTTTCTCAAACTTGAATAATGCACGTCCCCTTTTAATAAGGAAAGGCTCTCTGAGTTCCTCAGTTTTTACATTATTTATTTTGTTACCTAAGTATATATAAACATAAAGCTACATATAATGCTTTATGCTTATAGCTCTTACACAAGTATAAAACCCAAAGAAGTTTATAGATACGAGCAAAACTATAAAACCAATAAAATTTAAAATAACATTAGTGAAATATGATGGATGATGACGTTTCACCAAAACAAAACTGTCACTTGTAAGATGATAACCATACGGAGTGCTGTCTCACAGGTTCTTTTGAGTTCCGCATACACCTGGCAGGTGCTTTGTGCGCCACATGGTGACTCAGTTCTCCCACTGCGTTTCTTGGTTCAGACTCTTCACTGTCATTTGTTTAGTACACAGTGATGTTATTTGGTCTTCATCTATCTTGACTGAATCATTTCCCTATTCAGTCAGTCTCTGTTCTCCTCAAGCCTCCCACAACTAAAGCAGAACCCAGCTCTACTGTGCAAGTAAACACAGTTGCAAAGCTGGGCACTGAAATGTCCTGGAAAAATTTGGTTTTAAGGCAGTTATATTAATAAATTAATCTTCAGGACATGAATATTAACTTCTTAAATTTTTCATCAGCATGAAAAATGTCTAATTCTCATAGAACGCTGATGGATCCCCCACCGAACACACCCACACACCCACACACTCAGATTCCCCCCCTTCCACACACACAAGAAGTTTTAATGATGGTCAGTTTGTGGCTATAGTCTTGCTTTGGCTCCTGACACACCTGGGTTCAGACCTTGGGCACGTTTCTCAGCCTTTTCTGAACCTCAGGGTTTTCATGTGTTAAATAGAGGTAATCTCATTGAATATAAGAGAAATAAATGCAATAATACTCATAAAGCATGCATAGTAAGTGTTTATAAAAGTCAGCTACCATTGCTTTGATTAGAAATAATGCTAACATTTAAGGACTTACTACGTGCCTTCAACTTTGCTATAAGCACTTTATATGTGTTATATATTGAGTGATAGAATCAGGATTCAAATCCAAGTCTGACTTCAAAGCTTACACTCTTATAAAAATAATATAAAACATCAATATAAGTTGCTTATTTAAAAGGTTATTTAATATTAAATTGTATTTTCTCAAAAATCCTTATAAAATTAATGATGTTTCTCTTTAGGGGAAATGGCTAAGGTTTTTTTTTTTTTTTAAAGATTTTATTTATTTATTTGAGAGAGAGAATGAGAGAGAGAGAGCACATGAGAGGGAGGAGGGTCAGAGGGAGAAGCAGACTCCCTGCTAAGCAGGGAGTCTGATGCGGGACTCAATCCTGGGACTCCAGGATCATGACCTGAGCCGAAGGTAGTTGCTTAACCAACTGAGCCACCCAGGTGCCCCATGGCTAAGGTTTTTATAAACAGTTATGTAATATGCTAAGAAATCAACACAAGATAAATACAATTTTTTTTTAAAGGCTGTCATGCTAGGTTGTAGTCCAGTAAAAGGATATTAGGATCATTAGGCTCAACTTGTGCATTACTGTTCTTTTGCACATTTATCATCTGTAACTAATGATAACATGAGATTCTTCCTGAATCTCGATACAGCTTTTTTGCAGAAAAAGATTTTCCCCCCACCACTATTATATTCCTTGATAGTTCTGAGAAATAGTCTGCAGACATCTTAATTTTCACCTGTGAAACCTATTTTTAAAACTTGTTTTGTCCTTTAAAATAGTTTTGAGTAACTCTTCTCTCTATTAGTTTTCTAAAATAAGTTTTGGAGTTCTGAAAAATGAACAAGCATACTTGTAAGCTGGGTTTTTTTTACTCTTTTGCGTTTTTTTCTGATTGGGTGCTGGGAGAAAATACCAGGAGAGAGTTATAAGAGGAACTCATTTATTAACAGAGATAGTATGTATCAAATTCAACTTATTTCCCCATACTTGCACAAATTATTAAGGTAGTGAAGATACATGAAATGTGAGGCTGTCACTGAATTTTGTAAGATCTGTTTTTAAAAATATTTTTCTTTTATGACATCCTCTATAGAAGCATAATAATAATCTGTGTTCTGTTCTATTGTGGTTCTGATCCAGTGTCTTTAACTCATCTGTAAGATCTTTAAGTTCAGTGAATGCATGGCTCTCCATACATGTGGGTTATCAAGATAGAAGATATGCCCTGTGTGATACCTCATTGCCTCATCCTGTAGCACAGCATAAGAAAATTGTTCTGGCTTCACATTACAGATAAGGCCTAATTCCACCTGATTTTCTCCATCTTAGCAGTCTGTTACTTGATTTGGATTGTGAGCCCTACTTCTCTTATTAAATACAAATAAGACCAGTTTATTATAACTTTGGATGGAATGGCCTCCCATCTTTTGCTTCTTTAAAATCTAAATTTATTTTTTTATAAGGAGGTATCCTAAGCATTTGACTATTTCATCATGTCTTCTAGTTTAGATACACCTGACATTTTTACTTTGAAATGCTTATTGTAAATTCCAGCATTGATTTTTTTTAAACATTGTTTATAAGTGGGTATGTTATCTAGAATTTCATTTTTAATAGTAAAGTAGGTGTTAATACTTATTATAAAGGGAGATATTGGTTCCCAAACAGATGAAGAAGTAGAGGCTCAGGCAGGTTAAGGCAGGTTGGACTCCTAGCCAGATCGTGTAGATTGTAGTTAGTTTCAGGATGACCTTCTGCCATCTATAGCTAGAGCTCTTTGGTTTAACTGTGTTTGCACAGCTGCTTGGCTTTGACATTCCCTCTTGTGTCCTCTAAAGAAGTTTTCTTTTTTTAATTTATTATTTATCTTTTTTTTTTTTTTATCTAAGTTGCACTTGCTCAGCCAAGTTCCAGGGAGGACCAGAGTTCAAGAGTTAGCAGCAGAGGTTATCAATCAACTTAAAGTTTGGTAAGTGAAGCCCAGACATGCTGCACAGTTGTTTTCTTTGTAGAGCACTTAGTACAAGACCAAAACTACGAGTTGCTAACATTTCCTTGTTGAATCCATCCTGTTACTATGGAAAATGCTGTCCTAGAAAATTCAATTTGGAGCCTCACATAACTCCCATGAAAATTACACAGGAAGTGAGAAAAAGGCAAGGGTGCCATTTTTTTTAGTTCACAGTAGTGGAATGCATTGCACAGGGTAAGACCACTCTGCATCTAGGATTTTTCGTTTGTTTTATTTTTATGTTTATAATTTATTGTGACATGTACCAAAATCAAATTGTAATATAATACCACCCTATATTATATTTTTTGGATATAAAAACTCTCATGACTATGCCTATTTCTATTCTAATTTTGTGGAGTATATCCTTTTTTGGTATGTTCATCTTTTAATTTTCTCTTTATTTTTTTAGCAGCTTTGTTTGAAAAGTAACTCACATATCATAAAATTCACCCATTTAAAAGTGCATAGTTCAGTGGTTTTTAGTATGCTCGGCGTTGTACAACTGTCACCACTATTTACTTTTACAGCATTTTCAACACCCCAGATGGAAGCCCCACACCCGTTATCAGTCATTCCCCATTCCCACTGTCCTCCACCCTCCCTCCTGTGTTGTTTGGGCTTTACTGCAGTATGTCCTCCTTCTAAGACACATCTCCAAGTTGCACTTATTAGGAGAACAGTGTATCAATAAATATTTGTTGAATGAATTGATACCCACATAAGTCACTAGCCATGGGTAGCAACTGAGGAGTAATTGGAAGGGCCATGGAATAGATGTCAAAAGACTAGATTCAAATCCTGACTGATGCTTACTTACTAGCGGTGTTGTTCTGGGAATGGAGTCACTTAGCGCTTCGAAGGCTTAGTTTTCATATCTATAAAATGTTGCTAGCAATATCTGCTTCATTGGATGGTTGTGAGAATCACCTGAGAAAATATGACCACAACACTTGGCACAGTACCTGGCCCACACTAAGAAAGGAATTGCCATTTGTTCCTGGATGACAGAGAAACACCTGGGTTGGTGACCAGGTGAAACACCTGCGGCCACATTTCTCTAATGTCTAATCTGGCAGCAAGTGTGTCCCCTGGTCACCAACCTCAGGGTTCAAAGTAGTGGCGTAGTCCTTTCCTATGGCTCAATCTTCCCAGTTCCCTTCCTCACAAAAGAGAATTCTGGAGTATAACTTACAACTGCTTATTCTCTCTTAACCTCCCAACTGCTGCCTCCCCGTTTCCTGTCCAGCATGATAGCTGCTTCCTCTGTACATGCTGATGTTGATTCTCATGTAGGGCCC